GATGGGGGCTGGGCGGTGCAGCTGTTTTTGTTTTTACTGATGGGGGGTGGGGGGTGCGGCTTATAGTCCGGTGTGGCTTATATGTTGATGTTCGCGCGTTTTTTAAAAAAAATGGTGGGTGCGGCTTAAAGTCCAAAAAATACGGTAGTCGTATCATGGCTAGTCAGTGTTTTGTGTGCACTATCTATAGTTAGTAAAATAACTAGTGTGTGAACCTCTGTACGGATGCTGCTGTGACACCTGAATTTCCCCTCAGTGGGACAATAAAGGCTATTTCTATTCTATTCTATTCTATTCTAATTTCAGCGTTTTTTTATGTTTTTAGCTGCTTTTCAGCTAAATTCACTGTTTTGTGATAATTTCAGCTTCTTACTGCTTCAATTAGCAAATGTGCTCTTTTTCTTTTTTGCGCTAATTTTAGCTATATTTCATATATTTTAGGCTAGTTTCAGCTTCTTTTTTTAAACTACTCAGTAAAATYCTTTACCCRTGAGGCATTCACACTGTRTTTTCGCAGGAAAGGTAAATTCTCTAAATAACCCTCAGAATCGACCCAAATGAAGATGGCCGACAAATCTAAATCCAATGCTACRTCTTAAAAAGTTCGGGTGTCGACGTGGAGCATCTTGATGACCTCATCATTTCATGTCACTCACTTCCTGTTTCCTTCTCTATTATCTGGTCTGTTTTTCCTCAGCCTCAGAGCTCTTCCTCCGTCTCTCCTCGTCTCTACATATCTCCTTCAGCACACCCTTGGCCCGAACCCCCCCGCTCTGCTCCCAGGTGAATGACAGGTCCATAAGCGCTCCCATGATAGCAGTGGGGGTGTTAATGTGACAGCTATCGAGGCAGCGACAGGAGCCTGGCTCAGCCCGGGCCCTCGCACTGCAGGACGCAGAGACCGAACGGAGAGACGATAGCCATCTCCCCCCCTTGCACCCCCCACCCCCCCTCAATCACTCACTGCCTCGCTCGCTCTTCCCCAGCAAACAATCAGCGCGACACTACGGCTCAGTCACTTTGCCAACTGCTCTCCAAAGACTCTGAACTTCAGCCGGAGACGGCCGCCGTCAGACGGACGGCTCAGATTTGTGCGAGCGGGGATTTGCACCGCGGCTCCCGAACCCCCTGGCACAAGGGTATTATGCATTTGCCCCTCGTCACCACGGCAGCTTTAAATTTTACAGTCTGGGAACTGGAGGTAATGAGAAAGTCAGAGAGGTGGGGTGCAAACCCCTTTTTAAAATTAAAGCCCATCTCATGCTGGGAGGAATGCATATCGCCGGCTGTAAACGGGCAGAAACATCATCTCCACTCTTCACACGTTAAACGACAGAAACAAACCCAGAGTCTCAACCAGGGCAATCAGCATAGCATCAAAATCCAAACTAAGTTGTTAARAACTTTCTGCACGAAAAGCCACAGAGCTGTCGATTGGCAATATAAACTCTGCCCCCCCCCCAACCCCCCAGGCCCTCAGGCAGTAACTACAAAAGAGAAATTAGTTCTCACTTGACCAGTTTGGTTAAATGATGTGTTTCTTCTCATCAGAGAGGTGAAGCCAGCAGCAAATCCACCTCGTGTGTGTGAGGGGGGGCCCTTGTTTTTGCTACTTTGTGGGGACGATTTTTCAGGAGAACGCAGCCTCGTGGGGTCCAGGTGCTCCTTGAGGGTACCAAAGCCCAGTCCCCGCGACTTCGGAGGCTGATTTTGGGTG